GTGAAGTGCACTTGCTAACAATGTTTAGTACTACTTGTTAATAATGTTTTACAAGTAAAAAGTTTCAGTACTACTTATGCACCTATAAATAGTGCATTGCGTCGCCTGCAAATAGTATGCGCTGACACATGTTAAAAATATTTAGTTCAGCCTGTAAATAGTGTCTAGTATTACCTGTAAATAGTGTCTAGTACTACCTGTAAAAAGTGTCTAGTTCTACCTGTTAATAGTGTCTAATACTACCTGTAAATAGTGTGTAATGCTACCTGTAAATAGTTTCTAGTACTACCTGTAGATAGTGTCGAGTACTACCTGTAATGNGTTTCAGTACTACTTATGCACCTATAAATAGTGCATTGCGTCGCCTGCAAATAGTATGCGCTGACACATGTTAAAAATATTTAGTTCAGCCTGTAATGAGTGTCTAGTACTACCTGTAAATAGAATCTAGTACTACCTGTAAATAGTGTCTAATACTACCTATAAACAGTGTCTAGTACTACTTGTAAATAGTGTCTAGTACTACCTGTAAATAGGGTCTAATACTACATATAAACATTATCTAGTACTACCTGTAAATAGTGTGTAATGTTACCTGTAAATAGTTTCTAGTACTACCTGTAGATAGTGTCGAGTACAACCTGTAATGATTGTCTAGTACTACCTGTAAATAGTATCTAGTACTACCTGTAAATAGTGTCTAATACTACCTATAAATAGTGTCTAGTACTACTTGTAAATAGTGTCTAGTACTACTTGTAAATAGTGTCTAGTACTACTTGTAAATAGTGTCTAGTACTACCTGTAATTAGTGTCTAGTACTACCTGTAAATAGTTTCTAGTACTACTTGTAAAAAGTGTCTAGTACTACTTGTAAATAGTGTTTAGTACTACTTGTAAATAGTGTCTAGTACTACCTTTAAATAGCGTCTAGTACTACTTGTAAATAGTGTCTAGTACTACCTGTAAATAGTGTCTATTACTACCTGTAAATAGTGTCTAGTACTACTTGTAAATAGTGTCTAGTACTACTTGTAAATAGTGTCTAGTACTACATGTAAATAGTGTCTAGTACTACTTGTAAATAGTGTCTAGTACTACCTGTAATTAGTGTCTAGTACTACCTGTAAATAGTTTCTAGTACTACTTGTAAATAGTGTCTAGTACTACCTGTAAACAGTGTCTAGTACTACCTGTAAATAGTGTCTAAAACGGCATATAAACAGTGTGTAGTACTACCTGTAAATAGTATCAAGTACTACCTGTAAATAGTGTCTAGTACTACCTGTAAACAGTGTCTAGTACTACCTGTAAATAGTATCTAGTACTACCTGTAAATAGTGTCTAGTACATTGTACTACCTGTTATCTGAAAAATTACATCTACAAATTTTTGTAGATGGTGGCTACTATTACCTGTAAAGGATGTAGTTTCACCTCTAAATAATGTCTTGTGTAACCTGTAAATAGTGGTTTTGTTTACCCGTTAAAATGTATCGAGTACTTCATGTTCATAGAGTAATAAAAACACATAACTGTCACAGAAAGTTATACATGTATTTATATCAACCAAACTTTTCGACTAATTTAGACTAACTTCGTGACTGAAAAGGCATCCCTGTATGTTATAATTTATTGATTCTTTATTACATGTAACAATCATCACTTGAATAATGACTAATAGCCATGAAGTAATGTCCGGTATAACCTGTGTATAATGTTACGTGTAAGTAACGCCAATTATTACCTGTAAGTAACGTCCAGAGTTAGATGTTAGGAACGTCCAGTGTTAACTGTAAGTAGTGTCCAGTGTTACATGTAAGGAACGTCCAATGTTACATGTAAGTAACATGCAGTGTTACCTGTAAGTAGTGTCCAGTGTTACATGTAATTAAAATACAGTGTTACCTGTAAGTAGTGTCCAGTGTTACGTGTAAGTAACGTCCAATGCTACATGTAAGTAGTGCCAGGGTGTTACCTGTTAGTAGTGTCTTATGTAACCTGTAGTTAAAATACAGTGTACCCTGTAAGTAGTGTACAGTATTGTTACATGTAATTAACGTCCAGTGTTATATAAAGTAACGTCTAGTGTTACCTGTAAGTAGTGTCCAGGGTTACCTGTAATTAACGTCCAGTGTTATATTAAGTAACGTCTAGTGTTACCTGTAAGTAGTGTCCAGGTTTACCTGTAAGTAACGTCCATTGTTACCTGTAAGTAACGTCCCGTGTCACCTGTAAGTTGTGTACAGGGTTACTAGTATGTAGTATACAGTGTTACATGTAAGTAACGTTCAGTGTCACCTGTAAGTAGTGTCCATGGTTACCAGTATGTAGTATAAAGTGTTACATGTAATTAACGTTCAGTGTTATATAAAGTAACGTCCAGTTTTACCTGTAAGTAACGTCTAGTGTAATCTGTAAGTAACGTCCAGTGTCACCTGTAAGTAGTGCCCAGGATTACCGGTATGTAGTATACAGTGTTACATGTAAGTAACGTTCAGATTTACCTGTAAGAAGTGACCGTTTCCTGAGAAACCAGGACACCATGCACTATCACTGTTGATTCTAGACATGTAAGTAGGGCAATCTTCATGGGAAGATGACGCAGTGATTGCGGCATCAGAAACACCGTTTGGTCCAGTCACAAGATTACTGTTACAAGTCGGAGAACTTCCTGAAATGATTTAATATATATTTGTATACCTCATCTTTATTGCAGTGCGTCTGATTGAATAATTTTTATCACAGGAAATGTTTGTCTTACCTTCTTGGCCTATTTATTATTTCAAAAGTATTTCTGATAAGCCGAACTTTGGGTTTGTGTAAATAGTATACTCCCGAGTAATATACTTATATATAAATGGGATTGCTCAAAAGACTTGCTGAATTCTCAGCGATCTATATTTTGAGACTTCCATAGAGCATGTTGTGTCCACTGGTGAAGGAGAAGGTAGGAAGGGACGGTATGGAGGGGCAGTTAGAACCTGAACAGTTAGAAATCTGGTATGATAAAGTAAATCATACCTTATGTTATTTGTTATGACACTTACTTAATATAAACACACCTTATCAAAGATGGTAAAAGCACAAATGTCGATTCATAGCAAAAAGGCATCTCTAATTAGTAACCATTTGGGTTGGACACGTACAGAATTCACATGCCAGATATCACTAAAACACATCTAGCAATTCAGCGACATCTACGACAAAAACACATTACCTGGTATAGTACTATATGTTCCTATATGAAGACACATTTTTATACACATGTAGAGATGGCATGTCCACATATACTTTTCTTTATAAACCATGTATTTGAGCCGTTTGAATACACCTGGACAAGAGACCACTGATACTGTGTTTGACCCAAATATTTGTCTCTATGTTTTTATACGCTCAGACAAGAAACGATTGGTATTCAATTTTGCCTCTGTGCTGCCCTTAAAATTATTTTCGAATATATAAAAAACAAATCAATATGCATACACTAACTCCGCCAAATGCTCGTTACAGTTGTTAATCATAAAAAAGCCTGAGAGATAGACAACTTACCACAACACAAACCCACGATGGAGAGGAAGCTGAAACTTCGCAACACGTCTGTCATTGTTCGCAGTTCTTTGAAAGATCGCTGATCGAAGAATTTATCTGTTATAAGCCTCTCGAAGGAGCGTGTCAATGAAACAGTTAATTGTTATATCTTGCCTGGTACATAATTGATAAGGAACCTATGTTGTAAGGTCACTTAGTAAGAAACATAATAAGCGATGTGTTAAAGGAGGACACATGTCACTAAAATAACAATTTGGTTTCTAGAACAAGGACAATTTAATCATATCACACGATGTCTTTACTTTATAAAGATAGATTATCTGTTTAGCTAATCTATGAAAACGAGTTTTTTTCTTAATGCCTAGTTAAAATATGTCATGAAACATATTCTGAGCAATAGTTCTAAATGGTTACGAGAAGAAAAGGTGTTTTTTTATAAAGTTATATTTACAAACATTCCTTTGATGCAAAATGACGTATTTATGAAAAACGCTTCATAGCATATTTAACTGATAATTAATAATAAGGGAATTTTCAATATTTATTCAAATAACATCGAAACGTGCAGATCAAAACAGTATGGTAAAGCTGCGAAATGAGCGAGTAAGAGAAAATATATTGAGGAGACGGTTAAATACTGAATTGTTTACAAAATAGGTACCAGAAATAAACTTGAAGACAAAACAACACACTTGTTGCATTCTCAAGTGAACAGTTAAGGAAACAGTTGTGTATTAAAATATATGTTCCAAAACAGCATTGCTTCTCCTGTTCTCCAGGGAAGTAGCATTAAAAGTGGCCTGAAGAAACTTCACGCAGAGGACAATTATATTTGCACATGTCATTGTTTTCCTTATATTTACATTGTACTAGCACCATTGCATGCACCAACTAATCCGAACTGACAAAAGAAGCAAGTGTTTTCCTGAACAAAATTGTGACCAACGGAAAAAAAGGAATCGTGGGAAAATACTTTCTCCTATAAACCGGCAAGTAACCTGAGACAATATGAAGTCATCTTCTATTATGAGAAGTAATATTTTTTCCGCTTTAGTACACATGACTGAAATACAATTAGTTCAAAGCCGTCAACCATGTTAACCACAGTCAATACATACTATTATTTATCAGCTTCTTCCCCGAATCGTGGGATAAGATTTCTGTTATCGATTTTTACAAAAGTATGCATCGATTTCTATGAACGTTGCATTTTAAATAAAGTAAGTTACAATTTCACCAAAACCACGATTTATGTTCAAGTTATGTATTCACCTTAATCCTTACGAATTATCACTATACACGGGTATAACCTTCTTTGCAACGTTTCTCATGGCTCCCGCATATTCACTTAGTCTGGAACGTACATATAACTTTCCGTCTCAACAAAGATACACTTGTAGCACCCACAAGAACTAACAAAATACGACACCTAGCTCTATAGATGTATTTATTTCGGAGTTGGCGTTTTCATAATTCATATTAAAACAGTTGATGACGCAGTCAAGGTGTCGAGTGATTCTATACAGCGATCATGCATCGACATTCACGGGATATTCATTAAAATCATCAAGTGGAAAAACAATGATGTCCTTGTTTCCTGTTCAATCGTCACGAACAGTCATTGCCTGCTATCAGTAACACAGTTCTCAGTGGCTCAAAAGGTGCTGATACATAACCTCTAACAGTCTCAAACATTTCCTAAACAAAGCATCTAGTCAGGCCTAGAATCTGTACAAATAACGATCATCATCTGTCCTTTATCTCATCACAAGGAACTATACATATTAGGTTGTAAACATAACACGTTTATAACAATAAAAATTTCAATTTAGATGACATATTTATTGATCAATTGGAAACATGATACACCAATAGATCAAGAACCCCTATCTACCGGCGTTTATAAAGCAAATGTGTTCATCATGTTTCACAGATGACGCTTGATAGATATTCTTTGACATTTGAACATTTGAAGTAGTGTGCCCAAAAAGTAGCCAGAGTTTCAAAGTAAGTTTTTGTTTTGTAACAGCTATAGATTAAGTTCATCTATCACATCTATTTTTTATATATATACATGAAATAAATCAACAAATGAAATTAGCAAACATTTTATCCAAATAAGGTAACACTTGCCGCGGAATTCTGCCATCTTAACATGAAAACATATTAAAATTTCCACATGCAGGAATAATGAATGTAACAAATGTAATTTCGGTTTGTAAATATCACGCTATTAATGAATATGCGAAAACTAGCAACAACGTTACTGTTTAACAGGACAATAAAACATTATTACAATTTGTGGAATATTCCGTATCAATAATTAAACACCTCTGTGAGATGGCATTACAAACCCTTCATTTTCTGCATCTAAGGTAAAAAAGCCAAACTAGATCATACTACATTAAAATAATCTTAATATTCATTTTAACTGGGGAATCATTTTTCAACATCTGTTTTATAGTCAGAATTACAGCACTAAATTTTCAATGTTTAGAGTGACGCAAGCCACCTTCAAAAATGTATAAAATAGACTGATAAATTGACTGATGATGAGACATGACGTGGAATAGTTATCGTTTACATCCTCGTTTTCAGAAAATACCATACTCCGTCCAAGTTAACCGTGACATGTGACCCATCGACAGTTCCTTTAAATAACATGCAGCGAGCGGAAGTGACGTCAAACAGGAAGCTATCACATTCCGGTTGTCTGAAACACTTTAAGCCACACATTCCTTGGTTCGATGCGTCTATGTCCACGAGAACAGGAAGTACGTCACCAGTGGATCCGAGCCTGGCTTCCCAGTGATGACATCTACCTGTGCAAATACGTCTTATTTTATAAAAAAAAAACCATCAATATAGCTTGACATAATAGTATGTGATTTGCACAAACATCAATGTATTATATATATTCACGATAGACACTATTGATTTTTCCCTATAAAAGTAGCGTCCTTATAGTTCAAAGGATTATGTTTTTGCCGATGCCTTATATATGGTATACTGATTTGCATTGCTCACTTGAGTTCCGAAGATGGTGTCCTATGGTCAGAGAGTCAGTGATATTGTACCGATTTGTCACTTTCGGTCCTTTTATAGTCTCAATAGTCAGATATATGTAGGATATCATACCGCCTTGAGGAGGAAAAACAGAAACTTGAAATCGATTTGTGGGTATCTCATACACATTTTACACCTTTGTGTAACCGCTTTACCGGTCATTTGTCTGATGAAGGTAACAGAGTACATACCGTACTAGTCATCGAAATGTCACATACAAACACCTTTTGGTTGTGCTACAAGAATCTTTTCATAATCCGTAATTACCTACCCGAAGAAAATTATCAGAAAATAAATAAAATTTGACTCGTTTTCGTTAATATGTACATTCTGTAGTTTAGGTTTAATTTGAATGTAATTGATATAAAAAAAACAGACTCTTTTAAGGTGTTATTCGGATGATGATCGTCCAGAATTTGAAGTCGTTTCGCTTCAAAACAATATCAAGCGCAGCACAACATAAAACTCAGTTTTTTACTCTGAAGTTGGATACGTACTGCATGCGATCGGACATCCTCTGACCTCCAGCCTCATCGATCTGTATCCATTTCCGGTGACGGATATAACCCGGATGAACTTGGCGACGACGGTTCCTTTTAGTTCATTGGTCACGACAGTATTTCTGTCAACGTTCCCGGGAAACACCTTTATAAAAGATGAAATATTGTAAGGCAGTTTTGATTTAAATTTGAAAAAAAAACTGAAAAAAAACCCAAACAAACAGCCGACCCCTTACTTTGCATATAACATGTAAACGACCTCAAAAGTACCAGTGAGATACATGCTAAATATCACTGCTTATCGATTTTTAATAGATCTTAGACGTTCTTAAGGATGCACTTTTGTGAAGTTTCAGTCATGTTCAAGTCTCGTTTAGATCTCATGTAACAGGTGTTTTTAATACTCAAAAAGGTCTGGATAATTTAAAAGCAAACACGCAGCTGAAAAATGTATCAAAAACTAAATGCCTTTTGTTTACAGAACTTATTTTCACAAGAATTTAACAAAACATGATCAATTTGGCGGCCATTTTGAAAATGTGTATATCTTGCGCTTCCCGAGAGACTAAAATTTTACCTTTTGTGTCACTAGATTGCTCACTTGAATCGTCATTGTGTCGCTATTTTTAACTGAATCAAGTTCATTTTTGCTGCTCAACTTTATTATGTTTTATATGATGAAAAACAATATGCAACAAAGAAGTTGGAAAATTATACATGATTGATATATTTTTTTACATGTTTATGGTTACTGAAGCAACTTAAATTTTTAACCCAAAAAAGAGGTTGCAAAATTTCACAAATAATGGGAGAAAGGGGGGGCCCCCCCCCCCCCCCACACACACACACACACACACACACACACACACACACACACCTTTTGGCTTTCGGCTGTTCTAGAAAGAGAATCACAATTTCTTTTGATTAATTGATTATTAATACTAATGTGTATAACTGACTCTATAACATTATACGAGCATGTCGTTGGTAACAGGAGGTCTAATGTGTATAACTGACTCTGTAACATTATACGATCATGTCGTTGGTAACAGGAGGCCTAATGTGTATTACTGACTCCGTAACATTATACGATCATGTCGTTGGTAACAGGAGGTATAATGTGTATAACTGACTCTGTAACATTATACGATCATGTCGTTGGTAACAGGAGGTCTAATGTGTATAACTGACTCTGTAACATTATACGATCATGTCGTTGGTAACAGGAGGTCTAATGTGTATAACTGACTCTGTAACATTATACGATCATGTCGTTGGTAACAGGAGGTCTAATGTGTATAACTGACTCTGTAACATTATACGATCATGTCGTTGGTAACAGGAGGTCTAATGTGTATTACTGACTCCGTAACATTATACGATCATGTCGTTGGTAACAGGAGGTCTAATGTGTATAACTGACTCCGTAACATTATACGATCATGTCGTTGGTAACAGGAGGTCTAATGTGTATTACTGACTCTGTAACATTATACGATCATGTCGTTGGTAACAGGAGGTCTAATGTGTATTACTGACTCCGTAACATTATACGATCATGTCGTTGGTAACAGGAGGTCTAATGTGTATTACTGACTCCGTAACATTATACGATCATGTCGTTGGTAACAGGAGGTCTAATGTGTATTACTGACTCCGTAACATTATACGATCATGTCGTTGGTAACAGGAGGTCTAATGTGTATTACTGACTCCGTAACATTATACGATCATGTCGTTGGTAACAGGAGGTCTAATGTGTATTACTGACTCCGTAACATTATACGATCATGTCGTTGGTAACAGGAGGTCTAATGTGTATAACTGACTCCGTAACATTATACGATCATGTCGTTGGTAACAGGAGGTCTAATGTGTATTACTGACTCTGTAACATTATACGATCATGTCGTTGGTAACAGGAGGTCTAATGTGTATAACTGACTCCGTAACATTATACGATCATGTCGTTGGTAACAGGAGGTCTAATGTGTATTACTGACTCTGTAACATTATACGATCATGTCGTTGGTAACAGGAGGTCTAATGTGTATTACTGACTCTGTAACATTATACGATCATGTCGTTGGTAACAGGAGGTCTAATGTGTGTTACTGACTCCGTAACATTATACGATCATGTCGTTGGTAACAGGAGGTCTAATGTGTATTACTGACTCCGTAACATTATACGATCATGTCGTTGGTAACAGGGGGTCTAATGTGTATAACTGACTCTGTAACATTATACGATCATGTCATTGGTAACAGGATGCATAATGAAATACTGACTCTGTAACATACAATCATGTCACGGGAAACAGGAGGTCTAATGTGGTATTACGTTTATTACACTGTTTTTATCAAATGAATGCTTTTACTGACTCCGCTCTTAAAAAAGGTTAAAATCAAGAAACTTATCTTAAACAAGATACAAACAAATAAAGCTATCAATGTGTCCATCGCTATATGTTGTATGACTTGTTTTACTCTCTTTTTCTCTCGAAGTATACATGTATGATTGAAAAGGTGTTCACAGGAATATGATAGCTATTTAAACTCGAAACCGATAAAACCCATAAGAAATAACAATAGAAATATGATCCTATGTTCCAGAATGGTGAGTGTCTTCTGCTTCATCGCCGACACGCGACAGGTAAATCAAAGCTATATACATGTATCTGTTAACTTTACCTGCACGCCGCCTGTCGAGTTCAGTAGGTACCTCCAAATGAGTCCGTCCAAACTGATGCTAACTTTGTAAGAAGACACCCACTGATCAGCAATTTTCCGTCCACGAGTTAATATGGCCTTTAGTATTGTGACATATTGAAATTCCACCTGTTAGTGAGAGGAAAACGAACAAAAAATACAATGAAATATTTTGTTTGGATACATGTATTTATCTTCCTGAACAATTCACATATTCATAAGAAAAGTTTCTTTAACATCTGAATGATTTCTCAATTAAAACGTTGTAAAAACAATTAAATCTTACTGTATGATTAATGTTTACTGAAAACGTCACGCATAAACTTTCCACTTGCTGCGCTGTACGAACCTGTATACAATCTTTACCTACCAACCCGAAGAAAATGCTCTCGTCCACACTCACTGAGTTATCTGAACATGTGCCTTTAATATTTGGCGTCATTAATGAGAAACAATCTCACTCGGAATGTATCCTCGATAATCCAAGGGGTTATGTTCACTTTCGCTTTCTGCACCAATCGATTATGTCGAAGCAAAATCAAATTGCATAGTTCTCAGTTAAAAAAACCTTAGAGCAAACGCTGGTTCTGATACTTATCCTTGAAGATTAAAGAGGTGCGACACCTAACGAAAAGCCGATAAATTATCGTTACGCGACCGACAGATTATTTCAATTACATCAAAGGATCAAACTTTAGTCTTCTTGTCTCGTCGACAAGCTACTGCACAGTGAACCTTCAATTTTGCTATGACATTTAAATGGGTACAGGGAGCGAAAGTGAGCGTAACCCCGAAGTCTCGAGGATGCTGCAAGGGTTGCTTCTAATAAATGTCTTCGCGTAAAATATATATTGCAGAACATCTACCAGCAGGACTTAAGTGTGACTATTGTGAAAGGTACATCTGCCATAATTTCAAAAAGTTTTTTGGTATATTAAGTTTAGTGATAAGGCATGTTAATACATGTTTAACAGTGCATGAACAATATTTCTTGGTTGATTGTCAAGTTAATGTACTATATTTTATTTTCATGTTTCTTTTTGTTACTATGTAATGAAACATCTGTGGTTTTCTGTGTCCCGATAAGGGAGCAGATTGTCTAGAAAAGATGTCAATCTTATATTATTTACACGTTTGGAACAACTTCTTTGCTTTCATTCCACTGATGTTTAAAAAGTAATCAAATTAACTGACTTATTGATCGATCGAGAGCTGCAGATAAAAAAGCAAAAATCTCGTGAAGTATTGCCTGACGGACGATCAATCAGGTCTGACAATTAAATTAGGTGTTTTCATATTCTTTTGTCGTAACATTCAAAGATATGAGGGACTTTCCGTTTTGCAGTTGTAATTTTATAAAACCATTTCAATGTGTGTAGTCAACCGTTAGGTGTAAACGCGATAGAGTGTTAATTGTAACACATGTATTGTCTAGTGTTACATATAAATAGTGTCTAGTGTCTACAGTAAACAGTATCTAGAGTTACCTATAAATAGTGTCTAGTGTCACCAGTAAACGGTATATAATGTTACCCGTAATAGTGTCTAGTGTCACCAGTAAACGGTATCTAATGTTACCCGTTAATAGTGTCTAGTGTCACCAGTAAACAATATCTAGTGTTACCTATAAATTGTGTCTAGTGTCACCAGTAAACGGTATCTAGTGTTACCTGTAAATAGTGTCCAGAGTTTCCAGTAAACGGTTTCTAGTGTTACCTATAAATAGTGTCCAGAGTTTCCAGTAAACGGTTTCTAGTGTTACCTGTCAGTAACGCCCAGTGTTGCCTGTCAGTAACGCCAAATGTTACCTGTAAATGACGTCAATTGTTACCTGTAAGTAGTGATCGTCTCCTCGGGAATTAGGACACCATGCACTATCACTGTTGATTCTGGCCATGTGAACAGGACAAGTTCTGTAAGTAGATGATGCTGTAATAGCAGCATCAGACACACCGTCTGGTCCAGTCACAAGATTGTTATTACAAGTCGGAGAGCTTCCTGAAATATAATTCTACCTCATCTATATAACAGCGCATCTGATTAGATTATATTATCACAGGAAATGTGTTTTATTTCTTTGAAACATTTCACACACTTTTAAATATAACGTTTCATATCCTACTTAGGGTATTCATTAAAACAAAATAGTCTTTCCCTTCGTTCAATATTCCGTATTAGCCTAATTATTTAATTTAATTTTTTTATTTTTCAAATGTTTACATTAGTATAAAATACAGTTACAATACATACATAACAAGACATAAAACAAACATATATATATATATGGACATACATATTCATTAATTATCATACAAATACCAATACAATTATCAGAAAGTAAAGTTAGGATTGGTAAAAACGTGTATTATATTTTGAGTTTCTCTATAAGATAGATGCCAGTGTGAGCGTAATCAATATTTACATTTACTCAACATAACAATATTATGTATAAATAGATAAGTTACTTCGGTCGTAATTTCACGTTTGGGTATTTTCAAAAAAAAATTGCCATTTTAGCTTTCTCCCTAACTTCTAGCAATGCATTTTTGAGTTTAATATGTTTCCTTTAGTGTATTTTAAGGGCAATAATGCAGAGTTCATTCTTAAGGCACCTTGCTCTATAGATGTATTGTTTGATTGTCAAGATGATCCTATTATTCACTTTTCTGTTTATGCCATTCTGACGACATGTACCAAAAAGAAAATTCAATTGGAATGAACAGTGAATTCAACAAATTTTCTAAACCTTATCACAACATAAACACCCATAAAAAATCAAATGAGTACTTGGTTCGTTTTTCGTAGAAGCATAAAAATGAAATTTTCAAAAAGCAGGATTTTTTTCCCAAAAGACGAATATTGTCAAACTAACAATGCATCGAAGGATAATTTATGATGCAACCAAAACTAGGGATTATATGCTACAGTATACATGTACAAATCCTTTGCTATGGCTAGTTATCAGATATTTACAGACATATCAACAGCCAGAAGCCATATCAAGCAATGATATTTTCCAGACAAAAAATGTGCTCATTTTAGAATAAAAATAACTTATATAACCTATAATATTCTGATTATAGATGGACTAGGTTATGAACTACCAGTGACTAAAATATTAGTCCAAGATATGTGGTTGAACACATATAAAGAAGGAATCAAATGACTTTATGGTCTATACATCAGAATTCATGGCTATATGTTTAGTCTATTCATTATGACTGAAAACTGACAGAAAAAAGAAAGAAAATATCTGTTCCAGTGTAGATGGAATGAATATTTAATCAACAGAGAAGATGTCTGAAAAAGATTCACAGGTTTGTCCCTTTCTGATGACATTTACAGATACTATTTTGTAATGCAAGAGTATGAAATGTGTTCGAATGTCAGACTTGGAAAAAAGAAGGAAGAGAAAAAAGATGAGAGGTTTTGAGTTTGTTTTCAAACTGGTAATTCTAGATTCACAAGAAAACAACCTATTTCAAGCTTTGTCGAATCTTCTTAGCCCATGGGTGAAACTATTCTGGATTTTGAAGATTGCTGCTATGATAGCCAAGATAATAAATAACACGTGATGTATGAGCAGACATTTCCATTGTTCCTGACCAACAGGGCATTGACAGTGGTAATATTTAATTGAATTATTATCATCTGGTGTCGTGCTTTACTGAATCAAAACATTATATTTAGTCTAGCTCTTGTTTCTGGAACAAATCTGACAACAGATGAGGTCTTGAGAGTGCTGATACACCCTTATTTCATAATCTCCATCATCATTAAGATGTTTTACCTCGGAGCTTATAGTAACTGGTAGGTGCCGCACGTTATAGTCTTCAAATACTCTAAATTGAGCTCTGAAAAAGTGGTTGAAGATGCATCCATCTTAACGAATTCTGACTTTGATCCCTTGGAGAGAACTGGTTCTGTTTTTACCCTCTAGTTTGCTTTTGTAAGTCGAAACTTCATTTGTTGTGCGAGTTCTCTGTCACTTATGTCAGTTCCCGGCGATCTTTGATAAATTGGTCCCCGTATCCTATTGAGATATGCAGTCTCAATTTTTTGCATTTCGTCAAGTATATCAATGAAGCAATGCTGACGACGGCCATGATAAGACTCTACAATCCTTCGGAATTTAGTAGGTGTCCTGTCAATGTTAGCCTGTAGATCAGAGTGTTAGCTCTGACCAGGCTTAAGTGGTGAGGGCGTACTGGTATTAATATCAGATACCTCTAACATTGGCAGGATATCTATAAAACCACGATCAACGACTACATTGTCGTCTTGCTCCAACCATGTGAGCTTGTCTATGATGGGTTTGTTTTGTATTGCTTGCAACATTTTGGCTTCCAGATAATAGTCCTACGGTGTCCAAAATGTTACCATCAGGTACAGTTTTGCTCATGAATTTTAAGTAATTACTGTTCTTCTGGCCACTGTTAAACATTTTCTGAAGCTTATGGTAAGCACGTTTTTTTAATATAAGTATATGTACCATCTAGAATGGCAATCACGCTGTCTCCAAAGAATCTTTCTGAGAATCCAGTCCATGGTCAGGAACAAGGAACACCGATACTATAGATTTATTAAATGCTTGTACTACAGAATGAATGGGTTTTTGAAATACGAAACAGAGAAACGCCAAAAAGAGCGGAACACTGATTCCAAGAGATAACAGTTTTCATCTAAACCCAAACAGTAATAGAGCATTTTGTGTCATTTTGGTATATACTGAATAAGAATGAAATGGGACCATGTACGAATGGATTTCGAGAAACTGTTCTTTGGACCAAATCTGTCCAAGCTTTGAAGCCGCCAGGGGTCATCGGAGAGAGAAAAATTGAGAGTAAAGACTGATTGATTCTTTGATAAGCCGTACTACACTTCTAAAAGATCATCAATTATTTCAGACAACATACTTACTAGTTGAGAATCCAAAGACTCTCTTCTTTGAAGATAACTTGTGTACACGGGTTCATGTCATTGCCAGTAATATTAAATTAGCATACACGTGATGACACAGAACACCACAATGTGTGTGGATTTGTTTATTAAAAATGTTAAAACAAAGACAACATTTTTTGTGAAAAGGATCCCTGAAACAGGTCTTTGATTGTTAAGACAGGAAAACTACTAGTTGTGTTATCTTCGAACGTTCTGATTTATGTAGTCTTTTGCGTAGATACTTTATGTATTACTTCGGACGAATACTGCTTTTTTGATTGAGCAATCTATGCCACCTTTTGTCAGTATATCCAAAAGCCATTTACATTATTGTTTTTTTTTTACATTTCTTGTACCTTAACATTTACGGGAATTCTCGATGATACGATGGTAACCTTCACCAATACGTCTACTCTTCATTATAAGATGAATATTAACAAATGAGTATGAAATATTCCCTAAGAGCAATGTAAAAACAAAACTCTGATGATAAAATATTTGAAAAATGATAACAAAATATACAAGAACAAATTTTAAAAAGTGACAAGGATATTACATTTGATCTCAAAATTGATTGTTAACAAAAACTATCAATCACACTAAGTGATGAAGCAAATCTGAATTTGGATTTTCTTTTTGTAGACTAACATGCACTGAAAGGTTTATTGTAGGTTTGAAACGAATTTCATTACCGATTACCTGTAATTAGATGCATTGCTTTCAGGTAGACGCCAGGGAGATGCCTTAGTCCTCAACTTTTTGGGACACAGGACATTTTTTATGCGAAATAAATACTTTTTTTGCATACATATTTGAAATAACGCATCTTCTTCATACAATGAAACTGTTTGGTATACATGAATAACAAGAATGAAAAAACCTGTATTTTGCATTACAATTTTCACAAAATTTTCGATTAACCTCACATTCTGGATGATAAATATATTATCAAAGCACTACACGAAAGAAAAAAGTTTCCCAAGTATTACGATGCAGAAAAATTCTTTCAGGCTGATATTTCATTTTTAGACCCCATGCTTTAGTTCATTTAAATAATTAGAAGACTAATTCAAAGTAATAACATCAGTTGTATAAGGGATTGAAAAAAGTTAAAACAGCGGCATAAATCTCGTAGCTCTTCTGAAACAAAAGTTATGAGGGGCAGACTCCTTATAAATTTAACATAGTTGGAAATAGTCCCTTTCTTGGAATAAAAGGATAGTCTATTTTTGGATGGGTCTAGTTACACCGACTGCAAAGCTCCTTTACAGTTGTAACAATTCCATGGTATTGGAAGAAATTGCTCTAACTCCATATATTTCTCAGAATTCCAAAAAAAGAATTTTCCACGCAAGAAAGACATCTTTCCAGAAGAGATTTTTACAGTTATGACAACAGGAAATACAGTCTGATCCACAATTTACAAGAAGGTTTTAAAAATAGTTGAATTAAAAATAATTTGCCATGTTCCTGTTGTTGAGAGTAATCTTCTAATCAAAGTAAGTTTTAATGAGTCTATACATGATTTTATATGAATCATTTTGAGACCACCATCAGAAAAGATTTTAATAATTACATCTCTTTTATTTTCATCAATCTTACTATTCCAGAGGAAGTTATATAGTTCTGTATTTATCTTTTTGATAAATGTATTATCAGGATCTGGTAAAGCGATAAATAAGTCATTAAATTGAGAAATTAGGATAGACTTTATTATATATATATTCTCCCTATCGGGGAAAGAATGCTCCTACTCCAAGTCTTCATCAAAGCTTTAAGTTTTTCTAGTTTTTTGTCAAATTTATATTTACCAATACGATGTAGATCAACATGAAAATCAATGCCCAGAAGTGTAAACATTGTATGCTCCCACTGTAAATTCCATTCATTAGCCATAACCTCATCAACATATTTTTTACTCCCTATCCAAACTACTTCCGTTTTCCCTAAGTTCATTTTTAATCCTGATGTTTTTTTTTAAAGTATTTCAATTCTTTTATAGAATCTCTAGGCGTTGTTTCTGATCCATCCAGCATTAAATATTGTGAAAGTGAAATAGGTTGTTCATCTTCAAGTTTTTCCGAAATGTTTTTACACATTTTTTTAAAACTATGTCAAAAAATAAAGAAATCCAATACTTCATCAATTTCCAGGATACAGAATAAAAAGCTTGTTCAAAATCTATCATGAGTAACGTCCCTGGTATAATATTTCCTCTAAATTGCATTATATCATAGATTAACCTGGTGTTTTCCCAAATGCATCGCCAAGAACTAAAACCTGTTTGATCTATCTTAATACATTTATCTAAGACTGTTTTTATTCTACCTGCTATTGTTCGAGAAGCTATTTTACATAGTATGTTTAAAAGATGAATAAGTATCCAGGTTTTCAGGAATTGACGTGGCTTATCTTCCTTTGGTAAACAAGTAATTATGCCCTGTTTTGAGTTACAGATAATTCATCACTTTCATAACTATTGTTAATAGATCGTACTACAAATATAGCTAACTGTTTTCAAAATCACTTAAAAAGTTCGACTGTGAATCCATCTGATATAAGACTTTTTATTTTCATATTATTAAAAGTTTTTGACGCTCTCAGTTAAAGAGATAGGACCTTCTTAGTTTTCAGATTCTGTAACATTTAACTTTGGAATATCAATTTTTTGAAAAAGATTTTAACCTGCTCTCTATATATATTTACATATGAATACCACATATGTACACGATATATAACCTTATATATATATATATCCATACTGTGTTTGGATTTTATTCATAAACAGGTTAGTATGTAGTGATCAGCTACACCTATATCAATTTAAATATATGTAATTACCTTCTTACATTTACAAATAGATAAAACATGTGTACATATGCATACACACCCACAGATACATTATTTATTTACTATAGAAAGCACATAAGACTAGCTTTCCTTATACACATTAGAACTTATCACTCTTATTACATTATGTATATGTGCAAATATCCAGCCGCATACATAATATGTACACATGTGTACATGCATGTCAACAAATTACTACCATATATGGCCCTATGTATACTGTAGCCCATATTAAAAATAGAACTTAATACACACATACAAACACAGTATAAAGCAATCAGCTACACCTATATACATCAGTTCAAATGTGAAATTACAGAAATATAACAAGCAGATCATGCACACTCTCAAATATGGTGGCTAACACATATGTACACATGAATGCACACCTGCAAACCTAGTATTACACCATTTTTTGTTTTGTTTTAAAAAACAAGTAGCGCTTTTCAAGCTGTTCTTACATGCATTCCTGTGTATATATATCTTTTGACAAGTAATACTTGTTCATTGAATATTTACCAAGTATAATATATTACGCAAAACTAGCAATTTGTAAACCTGAAAAAATGTACACGTGTGTATATGCCTGTAACACATTTCAAACTCTGCAGCCAATGTGTACAAAGTCTTGGAAGTGAAATGTTAGCTACACATTAACCTAGATAGCTGCTCATGTACACACACATGAGCACACGTACCTATTAGTAATAAACACTTACTCTACTGACAATATATGCACAGGTCATTAGCTACACACATGTAAACATGTACGTTATAAATTATACTCATGCACTCATCCCTTATATCAAACTAATACAGGTGTACATGTATGTACACATGCAAACGAACGCACACCTTCACAAACAGAATTATACCAGGATAGTTTTTTATTAACAAACACATATACTGCTCTTGTTCACATGTGCATAATTACCTATTAGGTATTAACATGCACACTTGCTCTTTTTACATTTGACCTATTGACCCAAGTCCAGCCACACATTTATATCATGTATTTAGCTACACTCATGTAAACAAACTATACCCATGTACTTATCCCTAATATCAAATTAACACAGGTGTACATGTAGCACGTGTACACTAAATGCATATAGATATGTGTACACTAATGTGCACTTGAGCAGCCATGTATATAAATAGACAACTATGATTCCACTCCTCCATTGTAGATATCTCAAAATAAATTAGAATATGGTTGAAAATGCAATGACTTACAATACATTATATTCTCAAATCTGAGTATCAGCATAGTCACAAACAAACGACTAAGTGTACCTGAATATTATTTATTTTGTACACACCCCTCATTCCATACACCGCATTTTTTATATTTGTCACATTTCAGATGCGTACATAGATATCTAAACTGCCATATATTATTTACTAATGGCTGTTCTTTTAATGAAAACTTAGTATTATTTTACATGGCAGATTGGGTTTTTATTTTCAGATATTCAAAAATATGATGAATAATAAAGTACATGTACTGGTATGCGAGCACTCCCCTCCC